CTGTAGCAGTGTGTCCACAGGTTCTTTGTCATTTTACCATAGAACCTACTCTTACTTTTGCACATAAAGACTCTGCAACAAGAGCTCATGAGGCCAACACGCTTTGTTGAATCTCTTGCCAGAGGGCACAACTGTACTGGGAGGGAGCTGTGCATCCCACTGATGTAATGATTTCCCCCTCCCCCACCTCAAGTTACCTTTGCCCTTGCTTTGGATCTCTTTGCATTCATCCACAGAAGTAGCAGCAGGGATAGAAAGCCGAGAGGGCAGCTGCTTGGTTTAGTTTTCCACACTGCAGTCTTTTACATTTTTAATCAACTGCCTTTTACGATCAGCTGTTGAGCCATAGAAGATACTGTCCTCATTTCCTTTCTAGAACCCACAGTAAAACTGGCTGGTTGCCTGGCTCTTGAGATTAATCAAACCTCCGGTTTATGCCAAATCCGGAATCTGATGGTACTTTCTGGTTGATTTTATTTTTTTGCCAAGCACGTGTGGTTCTTGCCAACAGAACAATCTCCTATGGTAGCAGGAAACAATCTGCTAAATTATCATTAAAAATCTGTTTTGGAAATACATAACAGGGAAGGGGGGGCAGAACAAGTTACTGTAGCTTAGGCCCTAAGAGAGAACCAGCTCTTTTTTCTTCAAAAATAAAATTATAGAAAGTCCGAAGTTATTCATGATTGCTACAGAGAACCCTTTTATTTGTCCCGTGCATCAGATTTCCACATACATGTTTAACTCTACAAGTAGTTCTCAACTTACAACAGTTCATTTCGTGACCATTCAACGTACAATGGCACTGAAAAAAAAAGGACTTATGATCATTTTTCACACTAATGACAGTTGCAGCGTCCCCGTGGTCACACGATCAAATTTCAGGCGCTTGGCAACTAATTTGTATTTATGATGGGTTCAGTATCCTGGAGTCATATGTTGTGGTCATAAATTGAGGACTACCTGTACTTAAATATCTACAGCAAAACAGGAATTTGGTTTCTTATTATCATCTTTTAGAGATTATGATCAACGGGGCTGTATAGTTCTTTCATGTTTGAGACAGAGAAAGGTACAACCAACAATGTGAGCGTTTATTTATTTAATTTATGTGCCACCTATCTCGCTGCTGAGCAATTCTTCAACCAGCATATTGTGGCTCTATCCCTCAACCTGTGCGACTGGGAGGGACGAAGGATTCACTTCAACAACCCTCCTTTCTGAGGGCAGGTGGTTCAGGCAAGTCTGGCAGATCTTGCCAAATCAAATTCCATTTTTGTTAAGAGAGGCAAAGGCGACAACTAATCCAGCGTTTCTCAACGTTGGCAATGTTAAAACATGTGGACTTCCACTCCCAGAATTCTCCATCCTGTTTAATGTTGCCACGGTTGAGAAACTCTGATCAAATGAATGCCAATTAATGAACATATTTGCTGAAAGGTAATGGTCCTGCTAATTTTTAAACCTTTTCGGAAATCTCACCCAAGCAAAACAAAAAAAAAACCCCACAAAACCATCCTGAGGTAAATCCAAGCAACCATGCTGGAGATCTCCCTTGAGATAGATGCTATAAATTTTCTAGCTCCATTTGCTGAAATGGCCCGTCTGCCTTAATTGCTGCCTATCATGCCACATTATAGATACAATGACCACATTTTCTTGGAAAAATAAAGCAGAAGCCTGAAAAGAGGGCAACCCTGAAACAGGTTCATAAGGATAAAAAAAAAGTATGTTTATAACTTTGCTTCACAAAGGAAAATTCAAGAGCAAAATCAAGGAAATAATTAAACTGAATAAATCTAAAGGGCAGATTACTGAAATAAAGGTCTGACTCTTATAATAAAGGACATATGGCTACTGTATTTATAGAATACGAATAAGCATTCCAGTTTATCAAAGCACTATTAAAACCTCTTTTGGCATACTAAATGTAGAGATTAATAGGATAAATAGAAGTGAAGCAAAACATCATACTGAATGTTAGAGAATATAGCACAATGTTTCTGGGAATCGTTTTTTGATTATAGTAGTAGATAATATGGCCAACAGATAGCTAATAAGAGAGGATATCATTGTGCACACGAGTTTGACAGTAGCATCAAACAGGATGCAAAAGAACAGACAATGAATTTCAAAGAAAAAAAAGACTCAAGCATACTCAATCTTGCTTTCCCAAGGCTTGGAGCAGTAACAACCAGAGTTATCTACAGAGCATAGTCAAAAGTAAGGTTTTACACTTAGGCAAGAAAAACTGTGTAGGTACAGACTAGGTGAAACTTGGCTTAATGCCAATAACTGTGAAAGGGATCTTGGAGTTCTAGTGGACAATCACTTAAATATGAGCCAACCAAGTTGTGGTAGCAGCCCCACCCCCACCCACCCCAAAAAGCTAACGCAATTCAAGGCTGCATTAATAGAGGGAGAGAATCAAGATCACATGAAGTCCTAGTATCACTTTACAAAGCTAGACAGTCACTTATCTGAAATGGTATAGCTTTTGTGCAGGGAGTGGACTAGAAGACCTCCAAGGTCCCTTCCAGCTCATTCTATTCTATTCTAAGATCATACCTGGAATACTGCATCCAGTTCTGGTCACAATATAAAAATGGAAAGAGTGCAGAGAAGAACAACAAGAATGATCAGTGGGGTGGAGGCTAAAACATGCAAAGAATGTTTTCAAGAATTGGGTATGTTTAGTCTAATGAAAAGAAGGATGAGGGGAGACATGTTAGCAATGTTTCAATATTTGAGGGATTCCTACAAAGACAAGAGGATCAAATTCTTTTCCAAAGGGCCAAAAGACAAGAGAAAAAACAATGGATAGAAACTAACCAAGGAAAGAAGCAACCTAGAACTAAGACGAAGTTGCTGCATCACTGGAGGCTTTCAAAAAGAGACTGGACAATCATTTTTCTGAAATGATATAGTGTCTCCTGTTCGAGCAGTCCTTTCCAACTCTATTATTCTATTATGTTCTAAAAAGTCAAGATGGTGACATGACAGTAAAGACAAACAGCCCCCTGTTTTTTATGTGTGACATATCTGATAAAAACCCTGTAAAATAAAAGCAAGTCAAACTAAGTTCTTTCAGTGTGTTGGCTGGGAAATTCTGGAAGTTGAAGTCCATATATCTTCAAATAGCCAAGTCTGAAAACAGTGTGCTATTATAAGGTATAGAATTTATTTTGGGGAAACATCTTCAAATAGCTCAGTCTCCAGGCTCTGGGATTATTTTTGCTAGTGTGCCAGTTGTTATGAGAACAGAATACCTGAAGTCTGTGTGCCAAATTTTACAAATCACTATTCTCTGAACAACATCTGACATAATGAAACTTAGTAGAAGTGCTACACAGTGCCAGATGGGTTGTTGTTGTGCATCACCAGTTAGCTTTATGTTGTCCTCTTTCTTCAAAATAGCTCCAGACTTCAATTTATTTATGCACAGATGCCATATGGGCTTTGAAAAGATAAACATTCTTTGATCAAGCTATCTTTCATCCTGGTCTCTGTAGGATTCAGTTGATTCAGACTTCTTTGTTTAAATCAGAACTGTAGATTTTCCAGTGAAAGAGGGACATCTCCAAAATAAATACAATGGCATATTTACTGGAAGTTGAGTCATGTCAGCATATATGAGTAGGCAGAGTCATTGGAGTGTAAATATTTCAACTCCTTTATCCCAGGTAGGCCTTCCTAGTGAACCTTATGAAGTGGTTCTCAATCTTCCTAGGAACTGATGAAAGAGCAGCATAAAAAATGGGAGACAGGTTGTTTCCGAAGCCTTAACTTCTATTCAGGGAAGGATTTTCCACTTTGGCATAAATACATTCCCCCACTCTTCCCTCAACCAATCAAATCAATAGATTAGGTGCGAAACAAAACCTCCCTGGAGGACATATAGGTGTGAAACAAAACCTCCTCTACTTGCTCAGGTTGAAGAAGGATAAGCAGTGAAAGTTTCAAACCAACAACAAAAGAAGTCCAGTTGT